GCGCTCTCGCCGTGCTCCAGTGCATCGACTCGACGACGGCCGCCAGCGAGACCCAGAACCTGCGCGCCACGTGGGGCGGCGGTGGCGGTGGCATCGACCTCGGCGGCGCCATCAGCAGCCTCGTCCAAAACTGCCTCAACGGCTACGGTCTCTTCAACGGCGGCGGCGGTGGCGGTGGCTGGGGCGGCCAAGGCACTGCTAACACCAACACCAACGGCGGTGGTGGCGGCTGGGCCTAGGCATCTCTCATCGTCGTTTCGTGCATCGTCACTATCTACTTACTATGTCAATATACGTCCTCACTTTTTCCACAACTGGAAACTACTTGTACTAAAACACCCAACTACAGTCGCTAGCTATGGTCGCTAGCTCGCGCGTCGAGTCTTGCAACAGTGGCATATATTCTTACAAGCTATATGTTATTTACGCACTTCACAGTGCGATCGTGTGAACTTGAAAATGACATCTGCGCAAAGATCGCGGCCGAAGCTTTGGCTCCAAAGTGCAAGTTCGCGCACCTCAGGTTCGCCCCGTGCCCCATACATTCATAATAAAAATAGCTTGGTTTCAATATGGTGTCGCACGCGATCAAAATAAAATTGCCAGACAGGCAGCAAAGATACAAAATGCCCAAGCTGGCGTCCGCAGCCGCCTGCCTCGTGGCCATCTACCCACTGGCGATGCTCGCCTGCCTCGAGTCGCTCTCGTACGGCCTCCTCGTGCCCGTGCTGCCCATCACGACGACCGAGGTACGTCCAGCGTCGTCAACGAGCCTCAAGTTCGCGCCTCTAGTACTTTGCCCGCAAGGCCAACCATGGCGTGCCCATCGACTGCGTCCGCAACCACACCGCCAGCGTACGCTACGCCTACGGAGCCTAGCCCACGCTGTTTGTAGGTGTGCATTGCGGGCTCGCGTCAGGCCAACCTCTGGTCGAGCGCCACGTCGTCGGCCGGGTCCATCGTGAGCTTCCTCCTCGCGCCGCTCGTGGGCCAGAGCTCCGACATTTACGGCCGCAAGGTAGCCTTCTCTACTGATGTATCATGGTATACTCAAGTGTACACTGGGTAGCCGTTTATCGTGCTGGCCCAAGTGCTGCATGTGGTCTACCCGTTCACGGTGCTGCTCTTCAACGACTACAACCAAGACATTCTCTTCTACTTTATCACGAAATTTGTCTACAACGCCTACCTGTATTATCGCTAAATTCAAATGTTGTACAAATGTGTCATTAGGTCCGGCTCGGTCTTTGCCGCGTGCGTCGCCGACGTCATTGCGCCGCAGAACCGAGCGACTGGTAGTCCTCTGGGCGACGAAAGAAGACTAACTTTTACATCATTGTGTAGCGTTCGGTGCTCTCTTTGCCGTCGGGTCACTCTCGTACTCGCTAGCGATCGCCTTGACCCAGCACCTTTCGACGGTACACGCCCTTCTCTACCTCTCGAGCCTGAACCAGATTTATGTCTAGTACCAAATTCTGGTCACGTCGTGCGGCTTCTACGTCCTTCGACTGATCTGGAGTCTGGTGTGCATCTCCGAGACGCTACCCAAGCGCGTCGCCAAGCACGCATCGAAAACCGCGTCGCTCAACCCCTTTGTGGCTATGGGCATCCTTCTCCAGACGCCGCTCTTCCGCGGTCTCTCGATCATCATAGCGCTCTCCACCTTTGTCTCGTCGGGCTTGATGAGCTACCGCACCTTCTACTTCAACGTACTCGTCTCGTTCTCTGTCATGTTGCAATTGATATCTTGATAGAATGTACTCGGATTTGACAAGAACGGGATTGCGACCTTTATGCTGCTCGTGGGCGTGAGCTCGATGGTCGCCCAAGGCGTCCTCCTCCAGCCGCTCATCTCTGTGCTCCGAGAAAAAGGCGTCCTCGTCCTCTCGCTGATTGCGTATACGGGCATGGCGGGCATGTACCTCCTCTCGCTCCTCACGCATGACACCCTCTGGATCTTTGTCTGCGCCGTGCTCTCGGGCCTCGGTGACATTGGGTTTGCGGCCATCTCGTCGCTCAAGTCGATCCACGTGAGCGCGTTGGACCAAGGCCATGTCCAAGGCGCGGTCTACGGCGTCCGCGCGTTCGCCACTGCGCTCGGACCCCTTGCGTACTCGACGCTCTATGCGACGCTCTCGACCAAGAGTGAGAGCGAGCAAGCCGTGCCGTTTGTGCTTTCGCTGGTGCTCTATGCGGCGTCGGTCGTCGTCGCCTGCAAGCTGCGCGTCGGCGCCACACCAACGTTTGTAGATACCGAGAGCAGCACCGAAGACGAGTCGGGTCGCGTGCCGCTGCTCTTTGACGAAGAGCTCGCGCCGTAAGACAAAACATTGGTGCTGTCAACTCGAATGATTTTGCCTCGGGTGTTCTATCGTGAGAAGCTATGATATGATGGACACAACGACAAGAGGATCAGCGCAGAAGGGTTCTACCCGCTGGAGGTGACGAGGAGGTGTCGATGGGGACGTCGACGAGTCCGGCGCTGACTTGACGACCTGCACCAGTAGCCGACAAAAGTTGTCGCAAAGCCTACACCGACTTCTGTGTCACAATAAGAAATGAGAGGCGCTCTACCTGTGCGACGAGCTACGAGAACCCTAACCCGAACTCAAGTCCGGTCCACCATCCCGTCGCCAGTGGTTCGCCATCATGGACCGCCATAGGACGTTAATGACCAAAGAGTGGGCATCGTAAGCAGACAGTGTCTTCGCCACGGAGCGCTATGCGCCGTCTCGATGGACGCAAGTAGGTACACGCGATCGAGGGTTGTCGATCGTGCACGTGAGCGTGCCACGTCACTGGTGTCGATAAGCCTACTGACTTGGACGTCAAGTCGACGAGTACAGTGAGGGTTGTGGTTGCCAACTGTGCTCGGCTCGGTCTCTGGTACCTATCTTTCTAACTAGTAATACTATTGATCATTACACTACGTGGCGCATATCTGTTCTACATCGATATCTCGTCGACAACTAACTAGGCCGATGCACCTTCGACCGGCGCCTCCGTGGTGTTGAGCTGGCGGTACTGCTCCGTCACGGCCGCGCGGCGGCGGTCGTCCATGAGCTGTTGCTGCAGCGCGAGCTTGCGGAGGTGTTCGCGGAGGTCCTTGCAGCGCGGCACCGAGCACTCGGCGTTGCGGCACTGGCGCGCGTGGATCTGCAGTAGCGCCCAGACGCGCCGGCAAATCGTGCAGCCGCCGGTCGCCCGGAGCTTGCAGTTGCCGCCGTGCCGCAGCAGCTCCTTCATCTTTTCGCAGTTGAGCGACGTGCAGTTGCCCTTCTCCGCGTTGCAGCTGCTCGCGTGCACCAGCAGCTGCATGTGCAGCGCAATGCTCTTGGCGCGCTCTTCCCGCGCCTTGCGCATCGTCTCGTTGAGCGTCCCGATGGCCTCGAGGATGTGGACGTGGACTTGGGCCTTCTTGGTGTGGCACGACTCGCACACGTCGTAGTCGGGGCACGTGTTGCAGTGCCAGCGCGTGCCCGACGTGATGTCGGCCGAGCACACGTTGCAGCTATACACATACCCGTTCGGCGGCTGCCCCACGTGGTACAACGTCATCATGGACGTGTGCTTGGCCCGTCGGAGGTCGTCAAACTGGTAGTGGTTGGCTTGGCAGAGCGAGAGGAACGCTTGGCGCGTGTCAAACACCTCGCTCTCCACGAGCTCGTCCGGGTCGACACACTTGTCTCGGAGCACGAGCGGCAGCGGTGTGGGCACCCACGCGGCCTCGGGCAGCGGGCTCGCTTGGTAGCAGCTGTCGCAGACAAACGCCGCCGACGTCTTGGGGGCCGGCTTGGTTTCCTTCCAGACGGTGCCCGCGCCCACGACGCTCTTGCAATTCTTGCAGCACGGAAAGAGGTTGACGACGAGGAAGTCTTCCTTCATTGGCTTGATGACTTCGCCGAGCTTGGCCATGAGCGGGTCCGAAAAATCGATGACCTCGGCCTCGCTCTTGTCCTTGTCCTTGCCCTGGCGCTTGTTGGGTTTCGAGAGCTTGTTGATGCTGGCCTTGGCCGGCTTCTTCGTCTTGACGTCCGCCTTCTCTTCTTCGTCCATCTTCTCGATGAGGTCTTCGGCGAGACCGACCCAGTAGTCGCCTTCAAAGTACGGCAGCGCCATCGGCGACGCACCCGCGTGACTCCAATACTCGTCGTACATGTTGTGGATGTCGACAACGATGCCTTCTTCCTTGGCCTTGAGCAGCATCTGCACGTACCACTGCCGGAGCCGGTCGCTCTTTGGTGTCTTCTGCGACTCGGGGTGGCAATACAAGATGTAGTCGTCGCCTTTGAGCGGCGGACACGCCCAAATGTGCGCCGTGTGGAAGCCGCGCTGCTTGACAAACTCGAGGTACCCGATGAGGATCTCGTGGTACACCTTGGTGCGCAAATGGACCGGCTCGAGGTAGTTGACCGAGTCGAGGTACGACACGTACACGCGGCGCTGGTTGGCCGCACTCTCTTGCTCGTCAAACTCGTGCACGTACATGCCAAAAAGAAGCACCGACACGCCGTGCGTCTCTTGAAACATGCAGAGGCACTTGGACTTGAACCGGTGCTCGGACGGGATTTTGTGCTCCTTGTAGCGTGCATACATCTTGTCGCGCACGATGAGCTGCTTCTCAATGTTGCTCACTTGGCGGATCACGAGCGCATCGGCCTTGCCCGTCGACGGGTCGGCCTCGGCCTCCTTGGCGAGCAAATGCTGCACGCGGCGCTCCAAAAAGTCCGAGAGCTTGGACCGCGGCAGGTGCTTGGCTGAAAGCAGTTTCTTCTCGAGCGGGAATGCCGACGGCGACTTGGCGCGCAGCGAGAGGAGGCACTCGGGGCAGTGGAACGCCGTGCTCATGGTGGTCGTCTTCTCATTGCTCTCGGATCCGGGCTTGTGGTGGAAGAGCGCGCAGACTTGGTGCACCCACTGGTTGCAGTGGTCGCACTGGACCCATGGCTCTTCGTGGACTTCGTCGTTCTTCTTGCGGACAAGCCCACTCTTCTCGTACGGGCCGCCGTCGTTTGATGGCGCCGAGATGGACTCGGGCAGCGCGGGAAAGCAGTTGGTGCAGCAGTGGTACTTGTTGTCCGGCGCGCAGTAGTAGTAGCAGTTGCGCCGGATCCGCGTGTTGCACTCGCCGTTGCAGTACAGAATCGCGGGCTCAAACACCATCGACTCCATGCCGCAGAGCTTGCACGCGCCGTCGCGCGCGCGCGCACTGGCCTCGTCGGCCGCGACTTCCTTCTCGACCTTGCTCAGCTCCGCGTTGAAGTCGCCGAGCATGTCCTTGGCGAGCTGGTGCACGTCCGATTCTTCGTTGTTGTACGTCATTGCATTTCGAAACGTGAGCCGCACGTCGGCTGCAAAGGGCGCCAAATGCTTGTACAAGTTGGCGTCGAGCTTCTTCTTGATCGTCCCAAAGTCCATGGGCCGCCGGATAATATCAAAGTAGTTGGGGATGTTGAGCGCGATCGGGTCGACCGGCGACGAAAACACCCACCCAAACTTGTGGTCCATCATGCTCCGAAGCAGCGGCTCGAGCTTCTTCTTGAGCTGCGCGACCGTGAGCGACGCGCAGTGCTGCGACTGGAGTGACGCCACGTGCGCGCGGATCTCCATGTCGGTCATCTGCGGCAGCATGTACGTCGACGGTGACGCGGCCTCGCCCGGCGGCTCGTCCGCCGGCATCGCGACCTCGGGCTTGAGCTCGGGCTTCATCTTCTTGGCCGCGGGCTCGGGCTTGGCGTTCTCCGGCGACATGGTTGTCGTCTCGGGCGGCGTTGCGACGGTCGTGGTTGCTGACGGCGGCGTCGATGCGGGTGCGGGCGGCGTCGGCGGCGTCGAGATTGATGCGGACCGGCTCTGGATCGTGAACGAGATGATCTTGTACTGCGTGAGGCAGCGCTGGTACTTGGCCTTGAAGTCTTGCAGCTGCCGCTGCGCGTCCATGGCTGCGTGCTGGTACCGCTGCCGCGCCGCCGGGTCCATCGAGCCTTGGAAGAGCTCCATCTGCTTGTTGGCGTCAACCGCGCTCTTCTGCATGTGACTGCGCAGCGACTCGGCCAATGCCTCGAGCTTCTTGCTGTGCGCATGGAGCTGCTCGGGCGTCCACTCGCTAAAGCGCTTCTTGAGCACCTCGATCTGCTGCTTCTGCTGCAGCATGAGCTGCTGCTGCTGCATCGCGACCATGTTGGGCTGCATCATGCCGGGCTGCTGTGGCATCATACCGGGGTGTTGCGGCATCATGCCCGGCTGTTGTGGCATCATACCGGGCTGTTGCGGCATCATACCGGGCTGTTGCGGCATCATGCCTGGTTGATGTGGCATCATGCCCGGCTGCGGCTGCATCATGTTGGGCTGCGGTTGCATCATACCAGGATGTTGTGTCATCATGCCTGGCTGCGGCTGCATCATGTTGGGCTGCGGCTGCATCATGCCTGGCTGCTGTGGTACCATGCCTGGCTGCTGTGGCACCATACCGGCTTGTTGCGGCATCATGCCCGGCTGCGGCTGCATCATGCCGGACTGTTGCACGGCGGCCGGCTGCGTCGGCGACGGCTTGGGCGGCTGCGTCGGGGTCTGCAGCAAGCTCTGCATCGATGTGGACGACGTGTCGATCGACATTTGCGACGCGCTGCGCTTGAGCGTCTCGGGCTTGTTGTTGTCGGCGGCGCGCGGCGTCGCGTTGAGCTTGGCTTGCTGCTGCGCCTGCTGGAGCTGCCGCAGATGCGTGAGTGCGACCGCGGGGTCCGCGATGAGCTGGCCGGCCGCGTCCTTGGCCTCCAGCGGCACGCGCACGATCTGGCACACAAGGCACGGCCCGAGGCTGCACTGCTGAAAGTGGCTCAGCAAATACTTGGAGCTAATGCAGTGCTGGACACCGCATTGGCTCATCTGCCCACACGTCGGCATGTGCGTCCACAGCGTCTTCATCTCGGCGCAGTCCGTCACCTTGCACTCGGCCGAGTGGCACCAAGTCGCGTGCCGCAACAGCAACAAGCGGTGGTGCTGCTTGACGAGCATCGGCCGAAACTGCTCGAGCTGCCCCATCATGTGCTGCACTCGCTGGTTGTACTGCGCTGCAGTGGGCGCGGCGACAAGCGCGGCGATCTGGCCCACGCGCGCACGGAACGTCTGCATGAGATTGCCTTGCGTCGGCACGGGCGTCGGCGTTGCGGGCCGAGACGGCGTCGATGTCGGCTGCTGCGGCGTCGCCGGCGTGGCCGTCGCTTGCTTCATCGTGTGGAAGCTCCGCGCGACGACTTGTAGCCGCTGCTTGAGCGTGTTTGGGTCCATGTACTCGGCTTTCGACGCGGCGTTGCGGTACAGCGACTCTTCGAGCTTCTTGGCCATCTGCGGCAGCCGGCGCATCCAGTCGGGCGGCGCGTTGGGCTTTTGTGACTGGAGAAAGTGAATGATGCGCGTAATGACTTCGCGGCGGCTCGGGTTGTCGTTGGGCGACTGCCATGTCGTTGCCGGGGCCGCGGGCGTCGGTGGCGCAGACGTTGGTGCCGGCGTCGGCGTCGGTGGCACGCTCGCGGCCGCGTTGGCGTTGGCGTTGGCGTTGGCGGCTTGGAGCATCGCGGCCGACTGCGCTGCTTGCTGCTGGTGCGCCATGAGAAGGCGCTGCTGGTGCTGCATCATCATATACTGCTGCTGCTGGAGGTACTGGCGCTGCTGCGGTGTCATTTGGCTCATAAATAGTTGCGGGTTCATCTGGAACTGGCTCGAGTACCCCGCGGCGAGCATTGGGTTGAACTGCGCCGCGTACTGCTGCTGCTGCTGCTGCATGAGCATCGCGTTGTTCATTTGCGCCGGGTTCATCGCATTGTTGTTGGTGTTGGGCGTCGTGTTGTTGAGCTCGTCCGGAAACTCGATTGCTGCGTCGTCGCCGCCGGACGCGTCGCCATTGCCGGGCGGGTTGAACTGGTTGCCGTAAAAGAAATTGCTCGCGTCGCCAAAGTCGGTCGCGAAGGCCTTGTCCATGCTGCTGGCCTACGCTCGCCCATGAGGCCGGCACGTACATGGGCATGGCGTACCTCGATCGAGAGCTTGGGCCACAGAGAATCCGAGGGAGGTGGATATATATGTACTGCGGATCGCGCGGGACCACCGTCAAGAGAGAGACGAGGAGGAGGGATCGCCGCTGGCCGCGCTGGAATCGAGATATCCCAATGTGGATTTGGTGCTCAAAATTCTATTTCGAGTGGCCATCTTGAGGAGCGCATACAAATTCCAAGTCTAATTCCCCTCCGTAGTGAGCGACGGTGGTTTCGAGTGACATATGTCACTCTCTCGAGGGGCCCCAAATCCGGTTAAAGCGCGTTCTGGATGCATGGTCTGACTCTTTTGCCCCTTGCGTTACGAACCTACGTTCGTATTACGGGGGTAAAGTGCGTTTTTTATCCAGAGACACCGCCATCCTCTTTTTATAAACGACACTCTGGTTTCGTAAGCCGGCTACGACACACCGCTGTCGGGAAGAAGCTCGAGTCGACGTCGCAGGCACACGAGGCCAAGCCGGGTCTCTTGCGACCTCGTTCGAGCGAGTCCAAGTACTGGTACTGGTTGCTGGTATCGTGCATAAATCTGAACATGACGTCAACTCCCAGGCTGCATGGTCGTTGCGAGAAGGAGGCGGCCACCCACCGCCCCGACGCGATTGAACTAAGAACGTATTGCAGTAGGAAGTTTGTCCCGACTGCGCTCCGTTGGGACCTTCAGCTGGTAAGACTTTGCGACGACTGGAGCGCACGAGGCGGTGTGTAGACCAAAGACAATGTGTGCACAGTTAAGATCGCGTTGCCGTGACGTTGAACCCAGTGGACCAATCAAGTGGCGCGCTCACAAAGTATCTTGCAAGTGCACGCTGCCCGCACGGTGCGTAGGAAGCAAACAAGGGCACTGTACAATAGTAGAATAGTTAGTCGATCGTCGCGATCATGCCGATTGTCACGAAGACGGCGAGCGAAGCTCGTCGCTGCGAGTGGACACGGTGCAGTTGTAGTGTAGCGGGGGTGGAAGTAGGTTAAATTCCCGTGATGGCGTGCGTTAATCGCACCGCGACGCGTCAAACGCAGCGCTGCCGTCGAAAGGCAGTGCAGTTGTATTACTCACGCTCGCCGCACACTATTTCAACATTATTTCGCGTTTCCAGCATATGGTTTGTATAGCCGACACTCGGGTGTCGGGTAGGTGACCCATCCGGATGGGCCGTGAATAGCCCATCGACATGCATTTGAAAAGATTTGCATGAACACCCCGACGCTGTCGGCCCGCGAGCGACAGCGGCTCCGGTCCCGCGAGCACAGCCGGCTGCACCGCCAGCGCGAAAAGGTAGGCGCCAATGATGAGCGCGACTGATGCAGCGGCTAGGACAACCTCGTCGCGCTCGCGACGACCGTTGCGCAGCTGGAGCGATACGTCGACCAGATGAAGCGCCCAGAAGTCGCGCGCCGTCTGGAGCAGCTTCGCCGGCTCCTCTACACGAGTTCGGCGTACGAGAAGCACAACAGCGTGCTGCGCTTAATGCTGCTGCAGCGACAAACGATGCTGCTCGGGCTCCTCGCCAAGCTTGTACGACGTCGTCCATGCAATCGCCTCCGTAGCGTCATCGTCTTGGTGTAGCCGACGCTGCCGCACGAAGACGCGCGGCTGTACGACACGACATATCTCTTCACACGCATGCGCGACGTCATCACACGCATCAACGACAAGCACAGTCTTCCGACGGACCCGGCCTCGACCTGCCATGTGCTGCAGAACTGGACGCTCATGGCGTCGACGACCGAGCCCGACCACGTACGCCGATGCCCCTCGCTCGCCTGCTTATGGGATCGTATATAGCTGTGGTACGTGCTCGACAAGGTTCTTCCGTACCATGACGTGGCGGCGGTCGCCGAGTGCATATGGCAAGCGTACACCAACAGCGCTCGGTTCCTCTCGCTCTTTGAGGCCTTCCGCGACCACTCGGTAGTCATCCTTCTGTGCGCTACTCGTCTAGAAGCTATCACGGAACAGGTCATTTCTCGCTTTGGCGACTCGTTTGTCGTCATGCGGCTCGAGATTGAAGGGATCGTGCAGCACCGCGTGTCCAAGCCCAAGACGATTTACCAAGTGTGCTTCAAGCACTACGTACAAGAGACCGGGTACCGACGCTCGATGCCGACGAGCACGAGCACGCACTGCAGAATCGTCATGCGTAGGACAATCAATATCTACTACATGGGTCTGGCGCCTGGCACGCTCGAAACGACCTCCAACATTGGCTCGTACGCGTCGACCTCGGCGATGATTTCACTCATGCATATCGGCGTAGCATTCATGTCGTGCCATTGACAGGCCGGCGCTATCTGCACAAGTGCGTCGGCGCCTACCCGCTGCAGTCAAGTGAGCCCGCCGAAGTCGACGGTCTCATCAAGATGCAGCTCTTTATGATTTCGCGGTGGCAGAAGATTCAAGATAGCACGTTAGGGACGCTGCTCGAATCGTAAACCGCATAAGGGTATCGGATAGATGTGGATATCCCCTTGCTACTCAAAGCCGAGTGGATGACAGCCACTACTGCTATTATCGTCTAAACTAGCTAGCTGTGTACGGTCGAAGGCTTGCGAATGTCAAACACCATTGGTGCGTTCGTCGGCTGCTCGAGCGCCGTGCAGATGGCTGCGTTCACAAATGTTGTGGCGCCCAGCGTCTTGTGCCCGTACGACGCCTGCGCCATGCCAAAGACGTGAAAGGTTGGGCGCAGTGTGCTCAACACCGCCTTCAACAGCTCTTCGTGCCCCACGTGGTGGCCTGTGAACGTCGTGTCCAGGATGCCAAGCGGCGGCATGGGCGTCACGAGTATGTCGGTGGACCGTGGCACGTCTCGCCACTCGAGCGACACGCTAGAACGGCCATACGTATACGAGATGCGAGAGACGGCGTGTACCTGGAGGCGCCAAAGAATCGAATGGACTCGATTGTCAAGCTTTCGTCGAGAAGCACGGTGGCGCTCGGGAGGAGGATGGTCAGGTCCAGCGACCGCTCGTGCTCGCCCGGCACGACGAGCTTGTGCGCATGCGGTAGCCCCGAGAGCCATGCGTTGAACCTAGTACATGTCATTAGACATGCTGCGTATGGCTCGTGGAGAGGCTACGCTTCGGCTTCGTCATGGCGGCCAGACTTGGTGCAGCCGCCGGCCACGAGCAGCACGTCGCCATGCGGGACGTCGATAAATGTGTGCTTGCCGTGCGTGTTGGCGATGCACACGATGCGAACAGCGTCGGGCTGCGGTGGCATCGCGAGAAGGTACGACTCGCGGCGCGTGTGGAGGCCGACGGCGCGCACGAGCTTGCGCCAGAGAACGAGCCCGCCAAAGCCAAAGCTGACGATCGCCAAGGGTGTGCTAACGTGCGAGAGGCTGTAGGCCATGGCCAGCATCGCGGCCAAGATGGCAGACGAGAGGCCCATGAAGAGCGGGACAGGCGGGATGACGCCGCCTTGGACCGCGAGGAGCCGCAGGATCGGCGCCAGGACGATCCGGTCCATGATGACGCAAATTTGAAATATTTTTATTACACACGGTTGTAATTAAATACGGTCTTTACTTCTGGCACATTGCCACAAGTAGGCAAACGTCGTAAATGTGGCAAACGGCCATAATCAAGCCAAGTAAATGTGGGACGTGGCACAACACTGGAGGAAAATCCACCGAGCTGATATTTCGGTCGTCGTCGTATCGAGAGAGAGAGACCGACTGGCGTGACAGCCAGTCGACATCGACAGGTAGTCGATACCGACTAACTAAAGAAGAGCGTCGAGCTGGCATCGGATGCGAGCTTATGCGGCCAGCGTGGGACGCAAGGAGGCCGCACCGCCGCCGCGCGTTTTCCTAGCCGACACTGAACGTTTCTATACCTCTTGCTTTTATCGAAACCGTCTCATTACTCACCCAATCTTTCGTCTTCGTCTCGTTTGGCGAACCGCAAAGCCGACGGCGGCAACCCAAAGGTCTTTGGCGCAAGCGTGCTTGGTATAGAGTGTAATGTAGGACAACTGTGCATTTAGAAAGGACTCGACTAAGTTTCGTTATGTCCATGCAACGTGCGGTTTCGTTGCAGTAGATACAAGTATGCGTTGTCCAAACAGCCTTCAAGCTCTCTGCGGTACCAGTGACCGTTCCCGCAAACGCGTGGCAATCCTGCACGCATCGGGATAATTGGATAGAAGTATCCAACAGTGTTGGATAGTCCAGATCATGCTAATCGTCGCTCGGCGCGAAGACTCGAAGCGTTTGATTTCTCAGCTTGATATTTGTCGAGCAATTCGGCGGGAACGCCAGGGACAGTAATGCAAAACGCCAGTGCCGGGTCCGGATACGCAGTTCAAAATTTGAAAAAGAGTGGGACCTGAATTTTGTTGGCGGAGGTCCAGTCATCCGGATAGCCCGGATCGTATCCGTAGTCCGGATAAACCTGCAGAAAACCATACCCGCGGTGGCCGACCATACGCAAACGAAGCCAAGCGTGTTCTTCGTGTCCGGATACGCTGCCCCCAGAATGTAATGTCTCCTTTCCACAACAAGAAACCATCTGCCACAAGCGTTGTCGGCGGGTCCCCCAGAGTACGAGCGGCGCCGCGACTCCGCCCTTCCCCGTGCCTTCCAGCTTGACCGCCGCCACGAGAGGTATGAGGCTAACGATGCACGCTGGCGCGGGCTACCGAAGGATGCCATGCATGCCCCGGCCCGCGCCGGCTATCGTGCGAACTCGGCCGCTCATGTGTATGCTGCTGTAGCCACGTTGATGGACCCCAAGTTTGCGGACGACGACCTTCTATTTAACACTTCGATGGGGGGCAACGGGACAAACCCGAACGTGAACCTCTTTGGGAACGCCTTCTCGATGCCATCGGCGCCGGCGAATCCGCCGGCCAATATGATGAACCCCGCGCTGTACAACTCGATGAGCATGCAGAGCATGATGGCCATGGGCTCCAACTCGATGCCGATGATGTACAACGCGATGACGAACAGCAACAGCAGCGCCTCGAACGACGACGCCGCGATCCAGTTCCCAGCCGAGCTCATGACGACGTCGCCAAGCCGGAACCCGGCGACGGGCCAAGCGCCGGCCAACATGGCGGGCCTCAACGCGATGGCCGACCCGATGATGCAGATGAACCAAATGGGCATGAACCCGATGATGGGCGGCGGCATGCCCAACATGTACGGCATGGCGCCCAACATGCCGCCGAACCTGTACATGATGCCGCCCCAGCAGCAGCAGCAGTACCTCTGGCAGCAGCAGCAACAGTACCTCCAGATGATGCAAGCCAACATGATGATGCAGCAGCAGCACCAGCACCAACAGCAGGCCGGCATGATGCACAATCAAGCGCCCGCCGGGCACCTCGCGCAGCACAGCGCGATGCCGATGCCGATGACGACGTGGCAGACGACGGCCGACAATGCGATGCGGAAGGAAGTCATTACGCGCATCGTCCAGTTTCTGCAGATGCAAAAGCCCAACGCGCCGCAGGACTGGATGAAGCGGCTGCCACAGATGGCCAAGAAGCTCGAAGAGGCTTTGTACCGCAAGGCAACGTCGAAAGCCGAGTACAACGACATGAGCACGCTCCAGTCGCGCCTCCACGTTGTCGCGCAAGAGTTCAAGACCAAGACGACGATGGCCAACAACAGCAACGCGGCGACGCCCAAGCCCGCGGGCGAGTGGCGCTCGCAAGAGGACAACCCGCTCCGACAAGACCTCATTGGGCGCATCGTCAACCTCCTCAAGGCGCAGAACCCGTCCGCGACGCCCGAGTGGATTGGCCGCCTTCCGCACATGGCCAAGAAGCTCGAAGATATGCTGTATCAAAAGGCGGCGTCCAAGGCCGAGTACGGCGACCTCTCGCGGCTCAAGGAGCGGCTTCAGGAAGTCGCGACCGAGATCCACAAGACCAACCACCAGCAAGCCAAGGAGAAGACGCCGACCGCCAACAACGGCAACAACAACGGCAACACGAATGGCATGCCACCGACAAACGTCGGGCCGGTCGCCAACCCAGTGCCGACAGCGTCTGCGGCGCCGGCCAAGGACGGCTCGTCGTCCTTCACCGACATTGCCAAGACGATTGCGTCGTACTTGTCGCCGCGCACGATCGGCGAGTACAACCAGAAGGTGCTCTCGATGATGATGAACCTGGACCAGAACCGGCTCGTCTTGCAGCGCCAGCACATGCGGCTCATGCAGCTCAAGCACGCGAGCGAGTGCAAGCTGCCGTCCGACAAGTGCCAGCACCCGGCGTGCGCCGACATGAAGCTCCTTTGGGGCCATCTCCAGAGCTGCCACAAGAGTGAGCTCTGCAAAGCGCCGCACTGCCTCAGCTCCAAGTACGTCCTCGCGCACTACCAGCAGTGCAGCACGCCGACGTGTGTCGTGTGCCGGGCGCCGGACAACAACGCTGCCACCACGCCACCGCAACCGATGGGGCCGCCCTCGATCATCACCACGCAGCCGCCGTACGCCTTCCAGAACCAAGCGCGGGGCATTGCGTCGACGCTGCCCGAGAAGGCGGTGCAAGAGTACCACCAGAAGGTCGAGTTTATGCTGAACGACAAGACCAAGGAGCACCACCAGTCGATTTTGCTGCGGCAGCAGCAGCGGCTCATGCAGCTCAGGCACGCGAGCGAGTGCCAGCTCGAGCACAACTGCCCAACGCCGGCATGCCACGAGATGAAGCCGCTGTGGCGCCACCTCCAGAGCTGTCGGCAGACGGAGAACTGCCCGACCGCGCACTGCCTCAGCTCCAAGTATGTACTTGCGCACTTTCAACAGTGCATGAAGCAGCAGTGCGCCGTGTGCCAGCCCGTACGTCTCGCGCAGCAACAGCAGCAGCACGCGCAGCAGCATGCGCAGAAGCAGCAAGCCCACTTTCAACAACAGTACCAACAGCAGCTCCAGCAGCAAATGCACAGCCAGCAGCAGCACCAACAGCAGCAGCACATGCAGCAGCAGCACGCCCAGGCCCAAGCTCAGGCCCAGGCCCAAGCCCAAGCCCAAGCCCATCATCAGCATCAGCAGCAGCAGCAACAACAACATCACCAGCAAGCGCAGGCTCAAGCACAAGCACACGCGCAGGCTCAAGCCCAAGCACACGCACAAGCGCAGGCATCAGCGCAGGCTTCGGCGCCGGTCAAGGACGAGCCGGCGAGCGGGAGTGCCACGAGCAAGGAGCGCATCCGTCAGTTCACGGACAAGGCCAAGGCGATCGCGTCGATGCTGACGGCCAAGACGACGCAGGACTACCACACCAAGGTCGTTGGCATGATGCAGCCGCGCAATGTGCTCCAGAACCAGACGATCCTCGAACGGCAGCAGCAGCGCCTCTTGCACCTGCGCCACGCGCTCTTTTGCACGCTTGACAAGTGCAATGCCGCCCACTGCGCCGAGATGAAGAAGCTCTGGGCGCACATCAACCAGTGCAAGAAGAGCGACGCGTGCGCGTTTGCCCACTGCCTCAGCTCCAAGTATGTGCTGAGCCACTTTCAGCAGTGCACGAACCTCACGTGCGTCGTGTGCGAGCTCGTGCGCAACCCCGTCGAGATGGACAAGCTCGTGGCCGAAGAGGCGCGGGAGCAGGCACCCCCACCGTCGTCGTCGTCGTCGACGACGACGACGACCGACGCCAAGAAGCGGCCGCTCGAGTCGCCGGACGAGGCGCACGTGGCCAAGAAACCGAAGGAAGAAGCGTCGCTCTCGCCGCCACTGGCGCTCGCAGAGCCCGAGACGTCGGAAGATGGCCTCTTTGACTGTCCGCCCGAGCTGCTCAAGGACGACATGAAGGACGACGACGGGCTGAACGGCTTCATGGCCGACCTCGACGCCGACCTCGACGAGTACGACCCGGACGAGTTTGGCACGCTCCTCATGACGGACGATACAATATAAGTGAAGACGCGTGGTGTAGTTTTATTAAGGTAGGCAAGAGAACAACGAGACAGACGACGACATAACAACGTGTGTTTGAGTCTTATCGTTAGGTCTTATACCGCGACCAACTGCGTCCGTGGGGCCGCCTCCACGGCGTCGCCAAAGAGGTGGGTTAGGGGTATAGGACTCGCCGGTGTCCTCGCGCTTGCCCACGTTAGTGTCACCGACCATGGCACCGAAGGCCCTTCGACAGTGAGCGTGAGCATGTGAGGAAGTCCCTCCCGCAGCGCAATCGGGGAGGTTGTGACGACGTGGTCGTCGACACGAAGCTGCGCCGTTGCGGTCGTCGGTAGGCCCTGAACGCTAATTGTGTAGAGCTCGGAGAAGCCACCAAGAAGGAACCCGGTCCAGACGACCTTGGCGTACCCGTCATTGCGCCAAGTTGCATCGAGCCGCGTCACATCGGGTTTGGCGCTCGCGACGCGGCCATAGTAGTGCCCGATCAAACCGCGACTGGCTTTTGAGAGCAAGTCGACGCGCGTCTCAAACAAGCCGGGGAGCGGCAGCTGGTAGTACGCCACGTACGACCCGTTGAGATTGTCGACGATCGTAGCGACGCTCGTGGCGGCCCCGCGAAAGCTCACGCGGAGGATATCGCCGCCGAGGCGGACAGCGTTGCCGTACGCGTCATAGAGCTGGAGGCCAAACGCCCGCGTTTCGAGCGCTGGGTGCAGTGTCGTTGAAATGGCCGTTGTCGCTGACGCCGGTATCGACGGTAGCACCACCGGAGCATACGCCGATGGCGAGTACAAAGTACTACCGAGACGCACCTCGATCGTATACGAGATGGCGACACGGACAAGGCACGAAGCGGTGACGACCTCTGCCGCCGGTGTCACGACACAGACCACCGACAACGGCGCCAACGTGACTGTCACTGTCGTTGCTGTCGAAGGCGCAACGTTGTTGTCGTAGGCGTCCCGAAGCTGCACAACAAAGGTAAGCGGCTCGCCGGCGACGCCACCGAGCAGACCATCGCCCGAAAAAACGCTCTGCGCCAGCACGGGGGACGCAGCGACGACCGAGAACGCGACGGGGGCAGCGCCGAGGCGCCAGAGACTCCGGGCGTACGCGCCAGGGCTCAGTGCGCTGTCGACGGGCGTGGCGTTGACACCGATCGTCATCGAGGCCGTCGGTGCTGTCTTCCACGCTGTCAAGCAAAGTGTGTACGACCCATTCTGGTGGTCGGCCACGACCACGGACGTCGACGTCCCCTCGACATGCACACCGACGCCGTCGCCCCCTTGCCCCCGCGCGTTGCCAAATCTGTCGTTGGCGATAATGACCAAGGTCACGGGCGACCCGGCAACCCATGTGGGTGGCAGTGGCGACGCGATACTGAATTGCGGTGGTGCCGACGCCTCGGGGTAGACGCGCAGTATCGGCGTGAGGCTGTTGATGCGCCATCGCGCAAACAAGGCCGTCGGTGGAATCAACGCCATCGGTGTCGAGAGGCTAGCCCACTGCACCTCAAACCGCGCGTTGGTTTCGTTTGTCTTTGCAAACAAAACCGAGCACGGTACTAGCTCGGATGCTGTCATAGTATGTGTGAACGTGGCTCTTGTCGACGACGTGAGGTTGAGACGCAGTGCGCCATCGAGATAGACAGCCAGTGCACCGACGACGTGCACAGTAAACGTGTACAACTCGGTGGTCGGTGCCGCCACGTAGCCTTCCCAGCGTACGCTGAACGTCGACATACTGTCGGACGGTGACGCGGCGGTCGCACCGAATTCGAAGCGAAGCGGTTGCTGCAGCAGAAGAGCCCCTCCGCCGAGGCCTACGGGGTTGGCAATGATCGTGGCGTTGCCGCCGCCAGGAAGAAAGATGGACGGATGGAACGCGTAGACGCTCGCAACGGTCGGTGTCCATGAGACTAGAGTCGTCGAGGTGTCAACCGGCTGCACCGTCGGCCGCACGATCGTCGAAGCCGAGACGAGCTCGGGCGTGCCAAAGCGGTACCACTGCCGTAGCGTCGGGTTGCCGTAGACATCCCGCGGGGCGAGCACGGCGACGATGGGTGCGCCTGCAATGAATGGCAACGGCGTCACCACCGTTGCTGTTGTTGTTACGAGGTCAGCGACGTTGGGGTAGATCTGAATGGTAAATGGACTGCCTTGGATCTCGGTGGTCGTTGCGTCAATCGCGACATGGAGGGCGTAGGCGCCGGCGATCGTGAGCGTGTAGCTGACGTTGTAGAGGCCACGTCCGAGGCTCGTTACGAGCGACGTGCCAACGGCAACGGCGGACGTCGACGCGTTGGCAAAGCTGACAAAGATCGCGTCCGTACTCGACCGGTTGTTGCCATAGGCGTCCCGCGCCTGCACGAGAAGCCACGTTGGCACTCCAGCGATACCATACAAGAGACCGCTGCTACCCGGCGCGGACAGCGCGACCGAGACACCGGCAGTGACGACACCGGTCGTGACCGCGACGGCAAAGGGACTCTGCTGGATCGGAAGGCCGTTGACCGTCACGACGAGTGACATGGCCGACGTGGCGTTGGTGGGCGTGTAGCTGCACTCGTATGTGCCGTCCAGGCGGTTGACGCAACTCGGCGACACGAGCAGCGACGTCGACGTGACGGCAACGGTCGCGGCGCCGGAGGAAATCAGGTTGCGATTGACGTCGCGGAGCTGAACCGTAAACGTTGCCGGGACCCCGGTCGTGGATGCAGTAGTGCCGGTGGTGCCTATGCATTATCATTGGTGCATCAAGCGACGATGTTGACAGGCGCAAAGTACCGCTGATGACGCTGCATGACGGGCCATACGCCACGTTTGGAACTACCATGATACTGTACGGACTCTGGGCCACGTGCAGCTGCGCAATCGTGACCGCGACCGAGTAGGCGCCAATGAAACGCGCTGTGTACGTGGCTGCGTACGTGCCGTCGCCAGCGTCGACAACGACACCGAGATCGACGCGACCACTTGCGACGTGGGTCGCACGGACTTGAAAGACGGCGCCGCCCGTCGACTGTAGATTCCCGTACAAGTCGACGCCCCGCAGTGATATTGCGGTCGGTGCCGCCGCGACGACGCCGAGCGGTGCGACACCGGCGCCGGCAACCGACGACCGTGGCCCACTTGTTAAAGACGGACGAATCGAAATTGAGACGGTTCGAAGCACGGTTGTGCCGAGCAGAATCGTAGCGTCGTAGGTGCCGGCGATCGTCGGCGTCGCGGTTGCTTGCCCGATACCTGTCGCCGGGCTCATGACGACGGTACCGTCAACGGTGCGGGGTCCGACGAGGACCCATCGGTAGTCGTCGCGGGTGCCAAAAAAGAGTCGGCGGCGGACGTTGCCGTAGCCGTCGACGGCGTAAAACTGGCACGTCAGTGGAACGCCTGCAACACCGGTGGTCGGACCACGGTACCACGCGTCGGCTGCAGGCGCCGGTTGCACAACAACCGTCGGTCGCAGCGCGGTGACGGGCCAGGCTGCAAAGAGACTCGAGGTCGGGATCACTTGCAGCGGCAGGGACGGTGACTGCCACTGGAGCACAATGCGATCCAAGAACCGTGCGTGCGGTCGAAAGTCCAGCTGGAGTTGATACAGTGTCCCCGCTCGCAAGACGACCGCGCCGACTCGGTTGGGCGCGTCCAGCGGCAGCCAACTGTCCAGTACAAGCTTGCCTACTCAAGCAATCGATGAGAACTACCACGGCGGACTCAGTAGCACCGTTGAGCCACAGACGCACGCCACCGAGGGTGTCGACACGAAAGGTCGTCGCTTCCGAAGCCATCGCACGGACATAGCCGCGCCACCGGGCACTACCAAACGCCCACGACGTGTCGGTGGCCGTGAAGTTGACAACAGCGTCTTTTCGGTCGGCGAGCACGGGTCCCTAGTTGTCTGCGATTTGGTGAAGCTACGAGACGATGTCTATGTACCCGACACGTGGCATCGGCAAAGTAGTTGCCCCGTAGCCCGCCCCGGTACAGTTGTTCAAAGTGCACGGTGTAGTTGCCAGCAACGGTCGGAGTCCACGCCGACGCGGCCAAAACACCGGGCGCACTCGTCGCCACGAGCTCGATCGGCGCCGTCGAGTCGGTATCTGACACGATACTGCTGCGCCACACCGCAAAGGCGACAAGGGGGGCCGGTGCACCGGTCATCGAGATGGACACGATGCTACCGGCGGTTGCGGTCGACGACACGTTGGCAAACAGAGGTGCGGGGTAGACGCCGCCAAGAATCTCGACGGTTGTCGTACGCTGGTCACCGATCGTGGCGCCGTCGGACGGTGCGCGCAACTGGAGACGGAACGACCGGTTCTTGGCGACGGGGTTTTCGTGCACCGTGACGGCAAATGTGAGGCGAATGACACTTGGTAAGAACGTCAATCGCTGCGACGTCGTGTAGTAGGCCGTCGGGGACACGTCGGACGGCGTCGTCGTCATGTGCGTCAACTACAGCCATGGGTTGCTCTTGCTTCTATAGAAATACAAAACGAACTTCGTAGAGGACCGAGACGGTGCCGACACCGCCACCGGTGCGAACGACGGTGATCGGAACCACCGTTGCGGACTCGTTGATGGCGTACGACGGTGACGCAAAGGTGATCGTGCCGCCATGGCCGCAAACGACGTGGCTTGACGGAGCGCTGACGCACTGCCAGGACGCGTCGCCGTTGCCGCCTTGCGTACACGCCTGCGTCGCATCCAGTGCCGTTGCTTGCAGCGTGTACGGCTCCTACGCACGAGTTGCAGCAAATGCCAAGTCGACAAGTGTACCGTCTCGTCAAAGGCGTGAGGCGACTGCGAGCCAAAGACGGCCAAGTAGGAAAACTCGCGGATCCTCTCTTCGGGTGGCATCGGCCACGGGTCGGTCGTCCGCGGTCCGCTGCGCTTGACCGAGTTGAGGTGAAAGTCAGCGCACGCGAGGCAGCGCAGGGCGTCGCAGCTGCGGCAGCGCGGATCGTACACTGTGCAGGAGACTACAGGTCCATGGTATGGGCCCACGGATCCCGCAAGCGCAAACACGTACCACAGCGATTGGTTGAGGCGCTGACAAAGTAGCTCTGGATGCAGCGAAGACACGTCGCGCCGGCGCACGACACACACAGCGCATCGATCGCAGTGCAGGCCGCTACGTCGCCCATGATAACCCCGCCGATCCAGAGTTGGATGAAGAGGTACGCTGGCCGCAGTCGAGACCGACGCGAGAGGGGCTGCAGCTGCAAATGCCCGTCGCGTAGTCGCACGTGCCTTGGCCAGAGCAGTCGTTGGGGCAGCTGCCTACACGCACCGTCTTGCTACGACGTTAGGAATGCGAATGGGGCGTACGCTTCGGGTAGCAGAGACCGCCGACGCCAAAGTACTCTGGGATGCACGTTGTGCAGTTGCGTCCCGTGTAGCCCTTGTTGCAGTAGCATGTGCTCGAGCGCCGATCGCAGTAGCCGTACTCTCGCCCCGCGCAGTAGTACTCGCCGTCGCTAAATGGCCCGACCATGCCCGGGCACTGCACTACGACCGCAAGGATGAGCCGCTCGCAACACAGGATCTTGGGGTCTACGCGAGATGGCGACGCCGCCCCACTGCGTCGGCTGCTCGGGATGGAAGATGGCGCCGGGGTTGATGTGCTCGCGGAACGACGTGGTCGCTGGGTTGCCATAGTAGCCGACATTGCCGCGGGCGTACGGGCCAAACACGGCGGGCGGCAAGGTACTGAGCACATTGACGTCGGTCGCGTTCAAAAGTCGGAACGCGCCGGCTTCCTTCGCGACGAGCAGTAGCAGCAGCAGTCGCAGCAGTCGTCGCACGCCCATCGTCGAGCGTGGTTGACGCGTCGGTTCGGACGTTATGCCAATCGATCTAACACGCCACGCCGCGTGTTAGACGCGAGTTTGCCGTGTTACAGTCAATATAACACCCCTGATACACTGTCAGAATCGAGTGCCCAGCACTCGCCCCGCCTTACGTGGCAGCATGGCCAGACGGTATTCCAGGTACCGGTACCGAAATTCATTTGATTTTTCAATTTATTCAACTGGAATGAGGAGAGCGGAAGGTCGCATTTAGTGGCCAGTGTCACGCTGACGAATGTGCTGGAACGCCAACAATCGCCAGCAAAGGCGCCATCGCATTCTTCTGTCGCCTCTGTACACAAGCCGCAGACAGCCTTCGAAGACAACAACTCTCTGGTCTCAACGAACCAAGGTCGCACGGTTGGGAGACGACGACGGCGTTCTCCTGCAACGATAAGAAGGGCAAGTGGGCCAGCGCTTGGTGCCAGCGCTCGTACTGGCGCCAAGGAAGCCAACTCGATGGTGAGTAATGGAGCGATGATGCTGCAGCCGGCAAAGGCGCACCTGCCCGCAAAGCCTCTGCGGTCGCGCCGCGAAGCTTGGCGGTGACAGCAACACAAAGCAACACGGCATGAGGAGCTTGCAGCATCGCAAGCCGCCGTCGAGCGCAAATGAGGTGCGTCTTTGTGTATCTTGGTGCAGGTATAATCGAAAAAGGTGCGCTTTTATGGCAAACCGGGTGCACCAAATCGGATTCGAGCCCGATCCCATCTGGTCAGTTCGTATCGGCCAGCGCTTGTGAAGCCATTTCCGCATTCGACCGACCGCAGCAGCATGACCATGGTGAACGACGCCGACACGACGTGCAAGTACACGTACAAGCCGTGCATGAACCCGCGCTCGACCAAGCGTAATGGAAAGCCGCACCTCCTTTGCGAGTTTCACCGCGCCAAGGCCAACGCGATCCAAAAAGCGTACGCGACCAAGAAGCGGCTCCACAAGCAGGCGCAGCAGGCGCAAGCGACGAGTCCGACGGCGTCCGACGAGTTTTGGGCGTCCATGAACCTCGACGACGCGCAGTGGTCGCTGCCAATGGACCTGACGACGCTCGACGACGACGAGGTGCCACTCACGGCCGAGGACTGCGCGATGATCGCCAACCTCTTCTTCCAGGAGCACACAATTATCGAGCTGTGATTCCGCGCCCATATTAACTTAAAGTTTATCCTACGAAATACACACATATATACACGTAGAAGAAATGGCGTTGGACGAGCGAATGCGCCTCGTGTGGCAGCGTGACATGGGCGGCTACTTGGTCAAGATACAGGCGACCTACTGCGAGCGCTATCAGCGACGCCAGCGACACAAGCCTCCACGTCACGGGTTGTCCGGCTCAGGTACTCCCGCTATGATAGCTCCGCGCTGTCGGCGCAAGTGCAAACACGACCGAGGGACACTGACCGAGGGACCATGGCAGGCGCATCCGCCGGTGCACATCGTGCTTCGTGGGGCTGGAATATCGGTTCAGACGGGCGAATCTGCGCCAGAACGCGCCATTTTTGAGCCGCCCGTGCTTATGCAGCAGCCACCCACCTTCGACCGCCCGACGTTCGTCTCGTCCCAGCATTTGTGGTCGGTAGTCCGCCGTTACCATCTGGTACTGTGATTCGTGTTTTGTGCCACTGGCCCCAAGTTGGCGCTTTCGGAGCCAGCTGCCCCTGGAGCCCTTCGTGGACCCGAGCGGACCTGCTGCGCTCCATAGAGAATTGCCGTAAGCGTTGCGGCGGAGCAGTTTGGTGGCGCAGGGCGGGGCGTCGGGCCGTTGTCCTCGGATCTCCGCCGACCGGTATCATGCCGCTGGATTACTATTGCATGCCAGGTCACCAGCTGAACCTATCATATTTTTCGTAGGGCCCCCGCTGCACTGAACGGCGCCAACGCGTTCGCGACGGGGGGAGGTCCCATGTGGTCGTGCCACTCTGGACACGCCAAGCAAGCAATCACATCGTAACACCACGCCTTCATCCTCCGCGTCACGATGGCTTCATACGTCAATTTACCTTGAAGCGCCAACCCAAGATGGCCCCGACCGAAACCTGCAAGTACACGTACAAGCCGTGCTCGCACCCGCGGTCGACCAAGCGCAATGGAACGCTCCACCTCCTCTGCGAGTTCCACCGCACCAAGGCCAACTCGATCCAGCGCGCGTACGCGGCCAAGAAGCGCCAGCGCCAAGCGCTGCTCGAGGTGCCGCCGCCCGCCGATGACGCCATGGAGCTCAGCTTGCCCATGCCCGACATGGCCTTCATCGACCAGCTCATCAGTGACGTGAGCGACCTCAGCGACGCGACGTCAAACGCGTCCTGGACCGACGACGAGCTCGTGTGCGAGTTCCTGTAAGGGCCGCGCTTGTCTATTATTTATGCTCTAGTGACACCCCAAACGACCTCTCTGATACGATTGGTATTATGAATCATATTCTCCATACACTATTACTTGTCTTCTCCTCTCGGGTCGTCACTGCATCCTTGACAGCAGACGCCCGCGCCTCGTTGAGCAAGACGAGCCCTTACTGTGGTGACGCCGTAGCGACTCGCAAGAAGGCGTGACGTCGGCAGGCTAGCCACTTGATCCTACTATCGGATCTACAAGGACGTCCCCACGCTTCCTCGCGTCGTACAACAGTAGCCAACCATGCTCGCATGTTGAAGTGCGTATCATGGTCTGCGACTGTGCGGCCGTGCGTGCGCCAGCAGGTAGGATTCCAGCGTCCTCGTTCGACACGACAGTAGGATGTATATGTAGCATACGGCTGCACCCCACTCTACGGCTCTACTCATCGCCGAGCGCGACGGCGTGCACCTTACAGTTGCGTCACGGGTGCAGCCGGGTGCATGTTCCCAGGCGCGACTTTGTTGAGGAAGATCACTTGTGCGGTTGGGAAGCCACGCATGACAGTGTAGGATAACGCTGTCTTGGCACTTGTTGAAGCCGCATGTTGAGTGTATCTCGGGGTGTTTCGGTCGTGTTCGATTAGTAGATACTACGGACCACCGACGTTATTTATTTGACATACTATTGGGGCGGTTAGTAAGCGCGCTCTAGTATGATTGACACAATATTTCAATCGTTCTCGATGCTGGCATGGGTGTGCAAATACGACTGAAGAATGCAGCACGGCTACTTCGCTACTCGCACGATTTTTTGCTCGCTGACCGCACTTGTAGCATTCGAATCGTGTTGCCGTCGAATCGACTTGAGCCGCCTCGGTGCGCACCCATTCCTCCGCCAAGTGCCAACACGTTTGGTACGTACGCATCCCGACGATGACGAGGCCTCGGTTGGAGTGTGTGCTCCGACTCGACTGGTACATCCACATATCTTGTTGAAGTGAGTCTTTTCTTTTTTATATGTACACTTGTGAGTACAAAAGTCGGTGAATCGAGCGCTAGTCATTTTTTCGTATTTTTTGTTGTCGCACAAATCATCGCACCATTCCCACCCGTACAGCGTGCTTTCGACCCCATTGTCTACAAACGCCGCGCGGTGGCCTCGATCGCGTGGTGGACTGCAAATGTGACGGCGTTTCCATTCCACCCCACAAGTGACAAACGTTGTTTGTCTTGAAGCTCGCCAAATGATCGGCTATAACTAGCGAAAAATAGGCCATTAATTCTCGCGCCATCGCCGACAGCGTTTTCAAATCACTTGGTCATTTGCCCCCGCGCATCTATGGACATGGAGCGCTGCCAGTATACGTACAAGACGTGCCCGCACCCGCGCTCAAAGAAGAAGAACGGCCAACTCCACTCTTTTTGCGAGTTCCACCGGACCAAAGCCAACGCCATCCAAAAGGTCTACGCTGCTCGCAAGCGACTTCGTGACGCGGCCGAGTCGTGCCCGCTGCACCGAGCGCCGGTGTCCCCGATCTTTGACCTTGACGACCTCGAATTTCTGCGCGAGTGGCTCGACGACCACGACGGCGACGACACGAGGGGAACGTGCGACGAGCTGTCGTGGGACGATGTGGTGACCTTGCTCGATAGTATTTAACTCTAAAATGGTAGTTTTTTTGGAGTGGGTACGATGCTTGGAACGGCAAAGTCGCGACGATACTGAAGATGGCAATGGCACGCCGGGATCCTGGAGCTACTACTACCAGGTGTACGAAGACGTGTGTTTGGGCAGGAGCACGAGACACGTGTGGTCACGAAGCTGCCGCACTTTATGACGAGATCTTGCACGTTACGTCACAGAAGAGGCTTCTTGGGTGGGGCATTTCAGTAAAGGCCACGCACGCACCATGGATGAGGCTTCTGACCACGCTTGCGCTTCGAGCGAGATTGGCTTGCAATTTGTATGCAGGCAGATTCGTCGCCCAGCCGTTTAGTAACTATCAGATCTTCCCCAACTGAGCCCGACTGACCATGCCGCGATAAAGTGCGCGAAGTTGAGACGCACATTTGGCTTTGCAATACAACAGATGCGTTGAAATGGTAGATTGCACTTGACGTTCGCGCACTGGGCGCGCAACCGACCAGTCGTGGGATGGGGATATGACGTGTTTACGCTGGTCTCACGAGTGCGACGTAGTATTTCTTCGTGGTCCTTCTCGTTGGCGCGTGCAACCTTTGTCGCGGTACAATGTATGTGATTAATCAGAAAGTGGTGCTCTCTCCGGGACTTGAACCCGGATCTACCTGGTGGTAAACCAGTGTCTAAACCGCTAGACTAAAAGAAGTCGACAAGAACACCCCTTCTTGACTTGATTGGCGGCGGCTTTCTTGTATGCAGTGCTCGCACCCTGAATCGCGCTGCCGACTACTCCTTCAACTACAACAGGTAGTTCGTAGCTCATCGTTCACTCGTTTAACCAGCTACATGGCCGCCGCACCTGCGTGTTTTTGCACGTCCTCGCGCCCGAGGCTATTTAGTCGAATAGCATCGATGGAAACCGCTCGAATGACTGACAATAAGTTGCAGTCTCCGTGATTGCTGTCCTCGGTTCACTGGTACGGAACCTGAATTGGACCCTGAGTTTGCAAAGCCTGCGAGGCCTATCAGATTTGAAATGCGTCTGACAATTTTTCAGCTGGCCTACAGCACTAAGCAAAAGTGATTATGAACCCTGAGCAGCTGGTGCGAGTAACTTTATCGTATGGGTCGTCATTCCCACCCCACCAAGTCCAGCGTTTGGTGTCCCAAAGATCATTTCCCATTTGTCCGTGGTCTCCACACTCTTATCCATTTTGACAACTATGCACCGCAAGCCTTCCAAGCAATCGGCCGACCTTGCGCTTTGCCAGTACACGTACAAGCCGTGCTCGCACCCGCGCTCGACCAAGCTCAACGGCGATCTCCACCTCCTCTGCGAGTTCCACCGCACCAAGGCCAACCGCATCCAGCAAGCGTACGCGGCCAAGAAGCGCCTTCGTCAAATGGAAGCCTCCGGTCCTGCGTCGCCGACGTCGACGGATACGACGTGGCCAGCCGCTGAGCTCACGTTCTCGCCCGACGACTTGCGTGCGATCGAGGCCTTCACCTTTGCCGACTCGGAACACGCTACCGTACTCGACTCGGTCTTTCGCGACTTTCTGAGCGACCCCCTCGATTGCTACACCCTCTGAGCCCGAGAGCATGACACCCTCTTAATTTAAAACCTAGACATCCTTGTACAAACATTGCACTTTTGTTGGCGACAGTTCAGTTATGTTGCTAAAGGTAGCTGTAGTACATGGTGGACATATCCGAGTTGATCGGTATTCGACCGGTCGATTACCATGCAACAGTGACGCCTCGATCAGTGCCGCGCAGCGACGAAGCGACACAGCTCCTACGCGCCGAGGAGCTGGTGCTCGTCCGTTAGCTTTCCCTGGGGCAGAGGGACAACGGTCACCAACGTCGTTGTACTGGGTGCTGCGTCATGCAGCAGAGAATGTCGGGCGGCCAGAATGTGTCGCAATGCAGCGAGAGGGATAGGACACCGATACTCGCTACTGC